CCCCCGCCTCCTCAGCCCCCTGCCTCTCCTGCCTCCATAGCTTTCAGATCCTCACACAGGAGGCCCTGCACCTTCTTTTTCTTGCCTTACTCTGGGGAGGCTTGCTTTGAATTCATGGCAGGAAGAAGAGGCGCCCACAGCCCTGCGTTGATGGCTGCTGTCACTTTCCCTGCCCCCCCTTTTTTTTTCGAGATAGGGTTTCTCTGTGCAGCTTTGGAGCCTGTCCTGGAACTCACTCTGTAGACCAGGTTGGCCCTGAACTCACAGAGATCTGCCTGCCTCTGCCTCCCGAGTGCTGGGATTAAAGGCGAGCGCCACCACCCGACTCTTTTCCCTGTCTTTTAGCTAAGAAGCTTCGATTGATCCTCAATAGCTCAGTGCCTGGTGTCTCCTTCTCTCTTGTCCATCCTGCCTTTATAAAAAGGTCCGTCAAAATCTAACTTTCTTTCCGCTCACTGACTTAGCTCATGACTGTGCAGTTTTCTCTCAGGTGTCAAGTCTGGTCTTGAACTGGATGGCACAACACAAAATATCTTGGAGCTCACACAGTTAAACTGGAATCCCTATCTGAGCCTGTATTACTTACTTCTGTGTAGCTATGAATAAAACACCCGATAAAACACCTTAAAGTAAAGAATTATCTTTTTTGGGGGGGAGGCTCACAGTCACAGAAAAAAGATTTGGTCAAGGGCTCTACCTCATGCTTTGGATGGAGCATCATGATAGCTGGAACATGCGGCAGATGCACTTCTTCACCTCATGGCTGATGAGAAGCAGAGAAAAAAGACCAGGGACTAGGTATAACCTTCAAAGACCTGTGACCTGTGACCTACTTCTCCTGACCGTGTCTTGTCTCTTGAAACTTCTAGGATCGACCCTCCCCCACCCAGCAGCGACAGCATTGGGAACCTAGCACTCAACATGTACATTTGTGGAGAGCATTAACCCCCGGCCCCCGAAATGACAGAAGAGATGCCAGTGCGGGAGGGGGACCTGTGACATGACATCCACATGTCTATCCAACGGAAAGGAGATACTCATTTTGTGCTATGACTTAACCCAAAAGTTACTCCTTTATCCAACGGGGACTAACTGGGAGCTGTCTCCTACTGGCTGTCAACTCAGAGTATACTGAGTGAGGAGGGAGAGGCAGAGCCTAGCACCACACAGACAAGTGGGGGGCAGCCTTCCGGCCCAAAGGAGAACCAAGCAGCAAACAGTTCTTGGGGCAAAGTCTCCGCAATAAGAAAGACATATTGTTTAAAGGAGACTGTTAGCTTGTGAGCAAAGAAAGCCACGTCCCCAGATCATGTAATAAAACAGTTTATCATGGGCCAAATGCCATGCGGGATGCAAGCAAGACTTGGAGTGTGGGCACCAAACCAAACCAACAAGTCAGAAGAATCAAGACTGGGAAAGCACAAGAGACAAATGACCCAGCTGTACCTGCAACAGCATTGGGAATGAAGATACCAAGCAGAGCAGACAACTAACTGGTTGATTGATTGACTGATTATTGATTGAAAGAAGTTCTTGCTATGCCTAGGACCCACTATGTAGACCTAGAACTTGTGGCAATCCTCCTGTCACTGCTTTAATGCTGGAAGTACAGGGGTAAGCTAATTCATCCATCCTGCAGACGGCTCTTGAATGGTGGCCAGGAAGCATTGTTTTGCCAAGTGGATGGCACTTCAGTGGGTTAATACCTGGAGAAATTCGAGCTCCTAAATGTTGCTTGTGTTATAAAAACTAGAGAAAAGCTGGAAGATGGTATGTAGAAAGCAAAAATAAATGATTAGTTTTCAATTAAAAATTTTTAATTTTGAGTATATATTGGGTGTGGGGGTATAAGTGGTGTGTTAACTTGTGTGTGTGCCTGTGTGTGAACATGGAGGCCAGAGGAGGAGGCTGAGTGCCCGACTCTATTACTCTTCATCTTATTCCCTTGAGACAGGGTCTCTCACCAAACTTGGAGCTAGTCTGGTGGCCAGCAAGTTCAGTGATCCTCCTGTCTCCACTTCCCACAGCATTGGGGATACCAGTGCACAGGACCATGCCCAGCTTCTTATGTGGGATTCGAACACAGGTCTTCATGCTTATACAGCAAGCCCTTTAAACTCTGAGCCATCTCCTCAGTCCAGTCTGTTCCAAAGTGATGGGATCACGGTCAGTTCTCTTCCTTCCACACTTTCCCAGAATTCCCTGATGCTATAACATTTTATTTACAAAATAAATATTGAGTAAGTGGAAATGACACAAAGAACTGACATCAATCTAACACACAGTAAATGACATAATAAAAGCTTTCCTTTGAACACTGGTTTCCTTGGAGGTAATTCCAGTAGCAAAATTATAAATGCTTGTATTAGCTATTGGCATAGAGTACAATAGTTTCACAAGACTGTAGAGTTCAGCTTTTCTGGTTTCCTGTTAGCCCCTCCCACATTTCTGTTTAACAGCATGCTGCTTTTATTCCCTAAAAATCCAATGAGTGATGCATTTTTTCACTCATATTATTTATGAAAATTTGTTTTTTACCTGAAATTCTCATATTCTTCTGCTTGTCGTCTCCATGGGCATCTCTGTATGTTTGTGATGATCTGAATGTAGTCATCCTCAGAATACCTGGGAGTTGAATACCAACCAGATTAGACAAGAAAGTCTCACATGGGGACACTTCTATAATCTCGTCATTTTAGCCCTGAAATCAAGCAAAAATCATTAAGTATCATACTCTCTCCCAAGCATCTAGGAACAGACAGCCTGAAATTTGTTATTATTATTATGCTGGTTTAAGATGTATATACTGCAAACCTCCTAAGCCAAGTTCAGGATTACAACCAGTGAACATGTTCTCTCTGTGTGTCTCCTTTTCTCTGTCTGTCTATCTCTCACATACACATACACAAAACCAATCATATATTAACTTTAACTGAATGGCAGATAAATTCTTCCTAAATGTTGATCATGAACATATAGCTGTTTTTTTTTTCAGATTCTGTTAGTAGCTTCACGTTGGAATATGTAGTTAGAACCCCCTTACACATACACACACACACACACACACACACACACACACACACACACACACACACA